AGATCACAGTCCTGCTAAAATAATAATATATTTGAAATAATAGCTACTTATAAAAATAAAAATTTTAAAAAGAGATGGGAAAAGAAAAAGAGGTTTATTTCCCACTCATGAAAAAAGTTGGAATGTAGAAATTCCAGATCTGGAATGGTGACATACAAAGTTATCATCAGTCAGGGTCTAGTTGTCTCTCTGTTAGGGTATAATCCTCATCCTATTTATCTAAGACGAAGGCTGGAACTCCTACATGCAGCAGGATAAAAGAGGAAATTAGCCCCCATGTAGAGATGCCCCAGAAGTAACATTTCCATTTCCATCTCATTAGCCAGGACTTAATCACATGACCATACCTAGCTATAAGGAAGACTGGCAAAATAGTAATTTAATCGTGGTAGCAATGTGCCCAGATAAAAATCCGGGTTCTGTTACTTAGAAAAAAGTATTGGAGTATATAATTAAACAGTCTCTGCCAAAATTCTTAAGATTAAATTTAAGAGGAAAAACACATGATTTATGAAGAAAAGTGTAAACCATTTTCATAACCATGTTCCTAGATGAAAGACAATACCAAAAAAAGGATCCACAATTCACATTAACATACCAATTTAATATAATTCTAATCAGAAGGCCTAAGATGTTGTGAGGAAAATATTGTGAAAAGAGGAATTATTTGTTTGAGAACTAGACTAAATAAAGTTCACGTGGAAGATACCCATAATAAGCTAAAATATATTTTAAAAAATTAATAACTAATATCTAAGTAGAATTACTGTATGTCCCAGTTTGCCTCAGACAGTCACAATTGGCACCACTGTTCTAGCATCCTATACAGTTTAACATCTTCCATTTTGGAAAAAAATATTATTAATAGTTGCACTGAAATAAGCTACAATAGGAATAGTGGAATCCAATGTTTTTAACTTGCAGTTTTTGCCATAGTCTCATCTAATAAATAATTTATAAACCCCATGTACAGTGGTTAAATTTAAAAGTCAACCAGTGAGAGACTGAATTTTTTCCCAACTGTTTCCACAGACAACATTCAGAGCCTTTGACTAAAAAAAATTTTTTTTAAAGTGTATAATGGGATACCAGTACCTGATAGCTTCTCATTCCTTTCATGTTTTTTTTTCCCATGAGCTGTACCAAAAAATATACATTTTATTACTATCTCCACAAAAGTTTTGCCTTTAATGCTTAACTATTTTACACTGAATTTTCATTAGTGTCTGATACTTCACTTTTGACAGAATGACTTCCCAAAGGCTTTATTGGGATTTATTGTAAGGATTCAATATTAAACCATTACTGGACAATAACTGATCTAGTGTTAGCATATCTAGTGATGATAAAACACATAATTTAACTGTTTGCAATGTCCAATTAATGGAATCAACATATTAACACCTGTAACTTCACTGTTTACATGCGGAGAAGGAACTTTGCAGGTTATATTAATTTAGAATTAACAGTGTATGGATTAATTTTATTTTATATTAACCTGGCCAATAAAATTCTCACATTTTTCAGTGACTAGAAGCCTGGCAGCCAAATGAAAAGCATAAGTAGCCAGCTTTTACAGAACTGCATATAGTACAGAAATATTTTTAATGTGTAAGTGATCTCAAAAAAAAAAAGGCGGGGGGGTGGGGGGGCGGGCGGAATTTCCAGCTGTCACTAGCCAAGCCACTCAGTGAAAGGTAAATTAAAAAGCTGCCATCTACTAGAGGTATGTAACAAGGAAGCCAATCTCTGTTCAGGGATTGTGATGGAGACATCTGAATGTTTGAATTTTTTTCTTCCCTTCTGGTATAGGAATTCCTAAGGCAATATAATTAGCATATACATTAGAACATGTTAGCACACAGTAATACTCTACGAAGTCTAGCAACACAAACACAAAACTACCCTGGAGATTCTCAAAGAAAAAAAACAATTCAGCTAGAGATTATCTCACAACCAAAAATTATAAATCTGCAAAAGTAAAAATAACATAGCATAATCAAATATTAACACATACAAAAACAGGAATATGAGAACCCCAAGAGCTCGAAAACTGTAAAATGTGAGGCTATAAAAACTTTGTTTTAAATGATTAAAGAATTAGGGAAGAAAAGGAATAGAAACCAGAAGAACAAGATACTGTTTTTTAAAAAACAAAACTTTAAAAATGAATCAAACAGAATATAAAGAAATGAAAAATATAAGCCCTGATATCAAAAACCCAACAGAAGGATTAAACAACACATCAGATGAAGATGAACAGGTGAGTGAATTAGAAAACCATTTTAATAAAGGAAATCATCCAAAATACAGGGTGACAATAAATATAAGAGATTAAAACAAATGTGGGACTGAATGAGGTGGTCCTAAAAACTGCAGTTCCAGAAGGAAGCAATTCTGTGGAGAGTCTGATCATTTCTAAGCAGGATAAATAAAAGTTTCCAGCAATGGTCCTCAACCCTGGCTGCATGCACTGAGATGTTTCACCTAAGCTGCTTTAAAATCAAAATAAAAAAAAGTGCTTAGACGGCCCCTCACTCCCTTCCCAGATAATCTGGAACAGGTGTGGGGTAAATCAAGGCATCTGTATTTTCTTCAAAGCTTCCCAAGCTACTTCAGTTAGCACCCAGTGTTGAGAACCTGTGATCCATACCTAGGCATATTTAGTGAAATCACAGAACAAAAATAAAGGAAAAATATTAAAATAACTACAGAGAATACTATCTACAAAGTATTAACCTAGACTGACAATAGACTTCTCAACAACAGAAGCCGAAAGAATAAAATAGTACATTCAAAGTACTGAGAGAAAATCCTCAATCTAGAATTCCAAATAGCTAACTATCATTCAATATCAATAGTGAAAGACATTTTTAGTCAGTATGAGAGGCTACTATTTATAGGGCTTTGATGAAAGAGCTACTAAAGAGGATGCGCTTCAGGAAGGGAAACATTGAACATAGGAAATGGGATACAAGAAGAAATTCAAAACATAAAAACAAAATAAACTGCTGCTGCCTGTTAAACTCTGATCTCATACTTCTTTCGTTTCCTAAGTAATCAATCAACCAAGATATAAGTCTTTCTGGTCATCCATTCCACTATGTAAACATGACCAAACAAATTAACTGGCTTCAGTTTTTAAAATAAGAACAAACACATGGGCCCCACCCTAGATGTACTATAACTGCAGAGTAAGGGCAGAATTTTTTTTTTTAAAGCCCACCAGATCAAAAAGATAATCAGGTTTAGGAACTTCATGTTCTAGCATTTCCTTTATCCATTAGTTCTCAAAACATGGTTCTCAAATGGCGGCATCACCTTTACCTGGGAACTTGTAGAATGCAAATTCTCAGGACCCACCCTTGATCTACCGAATTAGAAAATTCTAGGGATGGACTCAGCAACTATGCTTTATTTAACCAGCCCTCCAGGTATTTCTGATGCCAGCTCAACTTTGAGAAAGCTGCTTTAGTCTCACGCCCATGTTACTCTGTCCAGACTTCTACATGAATGAATCCCTTGCAGTTGCCCTGCCTACAAATCTTTCCATTTAGTCCTCTAGAGCAAGGTATCATGGTTGACAATTCCTATTTATTTTTAACCTCTTCACTCAATTTTCTTTTCATCTTTTGCCTTAACTGAACTTAGCGCAGTTCTCTAGATTCCTAACATAAAGGCTGTTCACTGTCCCAAACCCTAGGTAGCTCAGGGTATGGAAAAGTGAGGTCCCCTCACTCCGTAACTCCCTGTAACTCCAAAATATCTGGATAAAACCTCACCTTTTCTGAAAGGCTCTCCACTGTCACAGCTTCAGCTGTCAACTGTGTATGATACTCACTTACAAATCTCCATCATGTTGAGACCAGAAGAACCCACTGTCTACCTGACACTTCCATCCTGATGTTCCAAAGGAACTCAATCTGAACCTGCTTTGTTATCCAGTTCTGTTCTTCCTATAGTTTCTATTATAAATGAGTGGCATCACCATCTCTTCAATTACAAGTCCAAAACATGGAAATCATCAATGGGATTTCTTATTCAAACATTAAAAACAAATAGTAATCATCAATAACTATTAATTTCACCTTCTATAAGGTCTCTAATTCTCTCCATTACAATTGATATTGTTACAGTACAAATAGCCTCTTAACTGCTCACTCTCCATTATTACACTTCCTCAACTCATTTTACAGTCCTCAAATTTCAAAAATATTTATTTTTATATCATGCAGTACCTTATGGGCTGTGAATTATGTTTCAATTTTTAAAAATCATGTCATGCCCTGGTTGGTGTGGATCAGTGGACAGAGTGCCAGCCTGTGGACCAAAGGGTAACTGGTTTGATTCCCAGCCAGGGCACATGCCTGAGTTATAGGCCAGGTCCGCAGTAGGGGGCGTGCAAGACACAACCACACATTGATGTTTCTCTCCCTTTCTCCCTCCCTTATCCTCTAAAAATAAATGAATAAAATATAAAAATCACGTCACTTTGAATTTTAATATTGGATACTACTACTATTCTAAACCCATCATTATTAAATATAGGGTGGGGCAAAAGAAAGTTTACAGTTGTGAGTACATGACACAGTTTATTCTTATATTATTATTTTTTAATTATTGAGTTATTTTCCACATAAACCATACACCTACTTCTGCCCAACCCTATATAAGAGTTTAAATCTAGTTCTTTTACTCAATTGTTCAGGGTCATCGACTTACTGACAATTTTATCGCAACTGTGTAACAACACACAGAACATCAAACAAAAAAAGAATTATCAAATTAAATCCAAATTAATCCTTAAAATTTAAGAGAGCCATAACTCTTAATTTCATATACATAAATTTTACTGCAATAAATTTTAGTTTTTGTTATATATAAACACAGGCACTTCAACCTATGTTTATAAGATGAGCAAAATAAGAACAATGTAAAGAACTTTTTCTGAAACCCATGGAAAGAAAACATTTTAGATTTAAAAAAAAATGAAAACTCACCATACACACCTGTAGAAGGAGTAGAATTGTTCATGGTAAAAGGTCCGTTAATGATGCCAGAAGAAAGAAACTCATCAGGTCCCCGCTGAAAAGCAAGAGCAATATTCTGTTAATAAAACAAGTCTCAGATAATGATCCATATTTACTAGTAAAAATGAAGAAGTCAATATTACTTCATCTGATTATCAAGGCATTTAAGGAGATGTCCTCAAGAATCACAGAAGCTAAAGACTGGAAGTGAACTTTATAGTAAGGAAAAATTACTGCACATTTGCATGACTATTGCCTTTGAAGGGATTCAAAGGTACCAAAAAACAGAGCTGCCATCACATAACTGGGGCATAATTCTGCACCCTTTTTTGATGAAACCCAATCCTCTAACCTGTTACATTTGAACTACCAGAAACCATACTGAATAATACAAAAATTCACATGTTCTATGATGGCATTTATATAACATTCTCAAAATAACAAAATTATAGAGATGAAAAACAGACCAATGGTTGCCACGAAGCAGAGATGATTGGTGGGAGAATGGGAGTATGATTATAAAAGGGTACCATAAAGGAGATCTTTGTGATGATGAATTAGTTCTGTATCTTGATTGTGGTGACAGTTATATGAATCTAAACATGCAATAAAATGAAACAGATTTATTCAAAGGTACTGTATCAATGTCAATTGTGTTTGATAGCGTACTATAATTACGATGTCACAATTGGGGGAAAGGGTGCAATTGGGGGAAAGGGTGCATAGCACGCAGGAGCTCTCTATAGTTCCTTTACAACTTGCTGTGAAACTCATTTTTTCAAAATAAAAGTGAAAAAAAAAAAAACCAACTATGATGAGATATATCATTCTGAGCCAGAGGATTCCTACTGACTTAAAAGATTTCTTGTTAACCCATCCTCAACCCTCGAGAGCAGATAAAATTGGTCCAGGTGTCAAATACCAAAGCTTACTCTCAGAGCTCATCCCTATCTCACACTACCATCTATCAGCATCCTATACAATCATGGTCCAGAAGGCATCCCTTCAAAGGCAAGCATGTTCAGAAACGACCCCATGAGTTCCTTATGGATCTATATGTAGGGAAAAAAAGGGAAAGAATCAAAAGGCAAACGACAAAAACCCCAAAAAGGGGGGGGAAAAAAACATGGAAAAAAATCACCCAACTCTAAATTATGAGCAAATAGTTCTTAAAATTTAAAAAAATTTTGAAGAAAAAAAATAATAGCCTTTCCTAAATAAAATACAAAGGGATACGACAGCATAGGAGGGAGGCAAATGAGAATTATACTAAAGAGTTAAAAGACAAATTGGTGAGAAACAATACAGCAGTGTCATGAAGGCAGACATTTCAAAAGAGAAGGATAAGAGAGCCGAAAGTGCAAAACAACTTTCCACCATTCAAAGAAGTTATCTGCTATAAGTAACGAACTCTTACTATGTAATTTCATTATCAAAAAGCTTTTAGAAAGAACAAATTTTCAAGAAAGCACTTTAATGGAGGCACATGACCCTATCTAAAAGGCTTCTGGCCCTGAATGGTATATAGCTCAGTTGGTTGGGTGTCCTCTTGCACAGGGAAAGGTTACTAGTTAGATTTCCCATCAGGGCACATGCCTAGGTTGTGGGGGCACGTATGAGGGGAAACTGCTCGAGGTTTCTTTATCACACGGTTTCTCTCCCTCTCTAAAAATAAATAAGTAAAATCTAAAATTAAATTAAATTAAAATAAAATAAAATGCTTCTAGAGAAGACGTCAAGTTGCTAACACAGGCCCAGGCAAAGCTGGCCAGTTAAGAATCCAACAAGTTGATTTTAATTTTCTTGATGAACACATGGCATTTCAGTTTCAATTTGAGGAGAAAAGTGAATTACTCATGGTTCTTTCCATTTCTACCTCATTCAATAAACTTTGTATCTAGTTTCCTAACAAACAAAAATCCAATTAACCGTTAACACGGAATTATTTCTTGCTGCTTACTAAATCAAGTCTAAATGTACTGTGATGCCACCAAAAAGCTTTCTAATCTGGACCATCTACTCACAATAACACTCATCTGGTAATTTTCCCCAAATACATATTTATTCCCGCCTTTTTAATTCTATATTCCTGTCTCAAAAACTATCCCTATACTACATATCCAGTCCTATCTACTGGTTACAGACTGATAATACTATAACCTTGACAATTTTTCTATCTTAAAAGTGAAGAGGTTGAATTTAATTTTGACTGTCTTTCAACATTAAAAACTGTATGGTTCTAGGATTTTAGTATCTTTTGCATAACATATTCTTCATATGTATAACTATCAATATAACACATTTGATCAAATACGTACACCAAGTTTTTTTCTCAGCTACTTGGAGGTCTATTATTGTGCCTTCTACTTGATTATATTCACCCATTCCCTATAGCATGTGCGAGATTCATGGTTTTCTGCCTTAGCTATGCATTACAGTATAGTCATTTATCTAGTTTAAAGTACTACATACCAAGTTCTACCCCAGATATTCTAGTAGGTGTAGGCTGAGGTCTGGACACCTGTATATTTCCAAAGTTCTAATGTGTAGCCAACTGAGAACTTTTATAAATAGTACAGATGCTATAATGAACACAGAAGCATAACAGTAAAATGGTTTAAAAGATAGTGTTCTAGAATAGACCAGATAAAGGTTTGAACAGGTTCTACAAACTTACCTTCTTATGATACTATACATTCTTTAACCTCTCTAAGGCTCAGTTTGCTCATCTGTAAAATCAGAATCAAAATGGTACCCATCCTTATGGGGTTTTCTGAGGATTAATATTTCTAATACATAGGTCTCATTAAACACTGGTAAATAAATACTAATGAGTAACTCCTCAGTCCTTTTCAAAAGCTATATATGCCAATAATTACATGTATGCAATGTAGTTAGTATTGGACAGCAATCTCCTGTCCAACAGAGGTAAAAGATATCATTTTTTCATAAAGGAAAATTTCTAAAGTTTCAAAAAGACATACCATCTCCCAAACCTAATGAAAAGAAAATTTCCTTTTCTCAGATGAACTGAGACTTGATTTTGAGATAAAACATTCTTAAAAACTGAAAGCAATAATTTCTACATTTTCTGTAACAAACTCTTACAATATGTATAAATTCCTAATAACAAGAGTTGGGACCCTTTTTGTATGTAATTGCACTGGAGATTTAATAAATCCCCATGTATGATTAACCTCTGAGAATAAGAAATAAAGCATATATCTGCCTGGGCATTAGGATTTTTTTTTACAGAAAAATAATGAGATTGTTTACAGGAAAAAAAGAAAATTTTCACTACGACCATTTTTGTAAGGATCTTTTTATACTTATCCAATTATCTCATAATAAATCTGCTGATGTTAAATAAATCATTTTTAATTTTGATATTCTCTTTTATCTTGATACACACTTTGTTATAATATGGATCTATGCTCCTTTCTGTAACCCTCTGAACTGATAAACTTTTGCCATTTCATTAAGAGTTCTCATCCTTATTACTTTTAATGAATTCTTAAAAATCCATAATGGCATACTTAAGTATTCCCTTATTATTAAATATTGATATTTGCAGTTTACTGACATAAATTATGCTGTATTAAATCTTTTAAAATATAGCATTTTCTGAATTTTGCATTCTATCCATAGAATATTCAAAAGTGAAATAATTCTGCCTTTTTGAGTAGAAGATAAAATTGCAAGAAATCTCAAATTCCTACTTAATGTAGAGTAACTTCAAGTTACTACTCTATTACAAGGGATTATTAAGAAGCATTTTTATTTCCACAGAGATCTTTCAAATACCATTAGTATTAGCACATGACCACCTCATTTTAATATTATTCAAGAGTTTGGCTCACAGTTTGTTTAAGAAAAGAATTTAACCTTTTCCAAAGAGAGGTCTTTTGCCTTCTCCTTCTGGGAGGTAATCTCTAAACCCCTGGAAGGCCCTAACTGAGAAAGGTGTCTTTTTTTAATCTGGGGGCTTTATATCAACAGTCTGAGGGTAAGGACTGGTCACACCAAAAAGATGAACAATGTGATGGAGGGTAGGGGTTTTGGGGCATATCTGGAGAGGCTAGCGACTGAAGACTAAGATTAGCTTCAAGAACAATCAATTATGCCTACATAAAAGAGCCACCTCAATAAAAAATGCAATCACCAAAGTACAGGTGTGTGTCCCTGTTTGACAACACTCCATGAGTACTGTCATATATTAATGCCAGGAAGGTAATCCTGACTTTATGGAGAGAGAACAAAGGAAGCTCTGTGTTTGGTTCTCCCTCCAGACTCTGCTCTATGTGTTTCTTCCCTGGGCTAATTTAAATCTATTATTCTTTCCCTGTAATAACTAATAACCATAAGTATAACAGCTTTCTGTGAGTTCTGTAAGTCCTTCTAGCAAATTACGGTACCTGAAGCTGTTTTTAGAAACCTCCTAGAAAATACAGTTAGTGTCAGAAATGAGGGTAGTCTTTAGTGGACTGTGTCCCCTAATTTTGCAGATGGCCCAATTCCTCTCATGATTAAATGCTATATATCAATAAGGTATAATAAAACTATTCATTTAACACATTTTTTTAAACTTTATTCTTCACCTTTAAATTACCATTTCAACTTCTAACTATAAGAAAAGTTTAATCTAAATATGTGGTCAAACACTTAAGCACAGAAAAAAAAAATTTAACTTAAATTAATGCAGAGGTTTAACTGTCACATGCAACATACCCACACAAAATAGAAAGTATCATAACAAAGAAATGATGAACAATGCTAAATCTTCAAAATAAAACCCCATTTAAGTTGACAATTCTACTAGATCTTTCAATAGTTAACAGGAAGAGCTTTTTTAAAAAAAGAATATGCCTAAAATATACATAAGTAAAGCAAACCCTACAACAGCATGTACAGTGTTGGCGTGGCTATTTTTATTTTTATTGACTTAATACATAAGGAAATAAAATATTTGATCCTGAAGTTTCATATCTGGAAATTCCATTTTATATCAGAGATGGCATTTATCATTCATTATACAGGATAAATAATACATCTCTT